TAATAATAATAATAATAATAATAATAATAACGGTAATAATAATGATAATGATGATAATAATAGTGATAATAACAATAATAACAGATAGTAATAATAATAGCAAAAACTTTCACTAACGATATTAAACCATGTAACGCAGCTAACCAGCATTCGAATTGGCAGCGCTCGATGCTGAAGAGGTCCATGCTGTTGAGGTGGTCGCTTGTGATGCAATACCGCTATCCGAACGATTGCGGTTCATTTTACTGGCAATCATCGTTTTCAGGCGTTCCTTCGTTAGCTGTGAAATTGTCTGTCCCGAGCCCGAATATGACCTGGAACGAAGGGACCAATTTCGGGCATTCACACTTCCAAAACTCATAATCTGAGGAAAATACCCTGACCTACTTAATGTTAATTCGTAAGCCTCCCGCAAGCCAATACCCTCAAAAACCCCTGTTGTAGATTAATCCTTGGTACTCATCGCATGATGGCCGTTAACTCAGCAACCAGGAAAGCTACCAATGGACAAGCTAATGTTTCACAAAAACAAGGATAAGCCGTTTGTAGCATCCATGTTGATAAGTCAGCATAATAGTGGCAATAAAACGAGTACCAGGACCATTGGCAGCAGCAAATTATGACCAAGCAACGCAGCTTTGGTCAAAAAAAGCACACAGTAAATATCAGCTGACTGAGTAAAAATATCACCAAGTAAATATCAGCTTTCCAAGCGGAGGAGCGAAAAAAAACTGTGGAAAAGGCTTGAAGAAGCACTTATGCCAGGAATTAAGTTTCTCTTCAACTGTGTTGGCATCAGTAGTGCTTTGAATAAGACTTTTTCTGAAGGTTATAGAAAGTGATACAGTGTAATACCTCATTTCGCAAATTTAAATCCAATCTTCCCCGTACCCGCAGGTAACAAGTACGGCCACGTAAAAGTTTTGACGGGTAAAATTATTATCTCGGGAACCACGAAAGTTAGGAAGCTGAAATTTTATGGGTATGTCCCTCGCCTGCGTGCAGCCCAGAAAACTTAAATTCAGCTGGACTGTTGACGTACAAGTGCCCAATGACAATTCACGGCTGGTCAATGTATTACTACATGTATTATTAAAGTTCGATAGTGCTCAAGCAGCCCTCTGTCACCTTCTGTTCCTCAGGCCTGCCGAATCTTTGGCGGTTGGCGACATTTGTGTGTCGCTATCCTCCGAGGTATCTGCTGCACTTGTGGCGCTCGAATGACCCTGCGCTGCTTTTGTATCTTGCTGCGACTGCGGCTGCTGCTGTTGCTGCGACTGCTGCTGCTTTTGCTGCTGCTGTTGCTGAGCGTGGAGAGCTTGGAAATAACTGAGATGCTGCATGGCAAGATTTGTTTGTGCACGATGATACTGCTCCGCTTGCCGATGCTGATAAATCTGGAAATTGAGCTGATTATTAATTGATAAAACTCTGCTACCTGCAAAATTACTAAAGCCAGCGCTAGAAAACTGGTTCCTGGAAGGTAATTTAAGAAAAGCAAAGCCTGAAGTACAGAAAAGAACCAGTGTTACGGCATTTCAATATGGCAATGCAAATAACTGGCCAACTCATGGGCTGCCCGTGCAAAGATGCGTTTTTTGCATAGTCCCGCGCAGTTTTTGTCGTTACCAGCATCGGTTTTTTCGGCAAATGCTTCTAGCGGAACAAATTAAGACTAGCTGCCAGAACTGGCAGGAAACAGCCCCTTAAAATTTCAGCTTTTTAGCTTTCCTGGTTCCTGATTTATCACCTATTTTGACGGGGAACATCCCCCTAAAATTTCAGCATTCTAGCTCCTCAGATCCCCGAGTTATGAACTTACCCCAAAGAAATTTTGGTGGACCCGTACGTGGGTACCACGCGGGTGATGGTGACAATTTTGGGGATTGGGGCCGGCACATGCATGCAGATTAAGCTCCCGAAATTTCAGCCCTGCAGCTTTTATAGGTCTTGAGATGAAAGTGACCGTGACAGACGCACACACAGAGGCACAGACACACGGACACACAGACAACCCCTCGTCAATATGCGTTTTTGCATTGCACAGCTGCAAAA